ATGGTCCAGCTCTCACTTCCATACATCACTACTGGGAAAACCATAGCTTTAACTATACGGAAAACATCTTTAAAGCAATTCTAATACTGAAGCAAACTTCATTATTGGTGACAGATGTATTGTAATTTTATACAGTGGTACCTCGCAAGACGAATGCCTCGCAAGACAAAAAACTCGCTAGACGAAAGGGTTTTTTGTTTTTTGAGCTGCTTCACAAGACGATTTTCACTATGGGCTTGCTTCGCAAGACGGAAACGTCTTGCAAGTTTGTTTCCTTTTTCTTAACACCGTTAATACAGTTGCGACTTGACTTCGAGGAGCAACTCATAGAACGCGGTGTGGTAGCCTTTTTGAGGTTTTTAAAGACTTTGGTGATTTTTGAAGCTTTTCCAAAACTTTCCCGACACCGTGCTTCGCAAGACGAAAAAAATCGCAAGGCGACAAAACTCGCGGAATGAATTAATTTCGTCTTGCGAGGCACCACTGTATTAGCTATAGTAATTATTTATAAATTTGTGCCTGTTACATATAAATTACTATATGTCAATGTTATGCAGAGTTGTGTCCTCTTTGATCTCATGACCCAAATCCTCTTTGGGGGGAATGCATAACTGACCAACTTAGTTGGGAGTGTAGAGGGGGAAATGGAATGAATAGAATGGAGCATCCTGGGAAGGGCATGGCTGGAACACCAAACAGCTGTGCTCCATTTGATTGCAGGTCCCACTTGTTCTTTCAGAATCTTTAGACAATGGGACTTCATTCACTAATTTGAAACTTATAGTCATAGAACCTTGACAACAAAAAGGCAATGTTTCTTCAGAGTTTAGAAACCAAGACAGGGCTCAGCATTTATTATGCCTGAAATTGTCTGCTCCTAAGCCCATCTTCAAATCCTATATGTAGTCATCTTCCAAAGTGGCACTATGCATGCACACATTCAATCTCTCAATAAAGACTGTCTTCTTTAGGGAAACTGCTATAATCAAAACAGATAATACCCATACAGTGGAACTTCTGGGTACTGTAAAGATGAAAATAATAAGACTAAGAGTTGGAGTAATGTCAGAAATACCTTGAGTGAATCGTGTGCTGTTGTCTTTCATTTTTATTTGTTCCCTGCTTCGTAAGAGTCACCCACTGTTCTGTTTTATTGTCTATTGATATTTAACTGAATGTTTTATCAACGGCTTCTCTTTTTACTGATTTTGTTTGTTTGGTTTTGGTTTCAAATAAAAATTATACATTTTATTTTATTTTTAAATGGTCTTACTGTGTTTTATTTAAGGCACTTAAGGATTTTGCGCAGGAAGCAGTATATAAATATTACTGATTATAATGATAATGGTGGATGGAAGGCTAGCTGACACAGAAAGTCAGAGGGAGAAGTGAACATTTAAAAACAGAAGAGGCCAAGATGATACGGTTTGCCTGGAATTATCATCATCACCATCTAAACACCCACCAATATTATCTCAATTTTGGTAGTGCTTTGCCTTCCCAACCCCCCCCCCCCCAGCATTACCAGGCCAGAATGGTTGAAGCAGAACTATTTTGCCCCACTCTCTTTCAGTTTCACCCTCTTCTCCAGCTATAATGAAAATGAAGTAGCAACCCTTCAGGATGCAACAATGAGACCCATAGGTGGCTCTCCCTCCCTTTCGGAGTCTGTGCTGATCTGGCATTGGAGATTTTGCTTTTCAGCAACGACAGTGCAACAGAGCCAGCCACAGAAACTGGCTGGCTCCCAGAATCTCTGGAGTAAGGCATTGGGTCTGTTAGCTGATCACACTGAGTCAAGATGAACATCCTGGCTGACACTTGGGAAATAATGGGACAACAGGTGAGGGAGGGTATGAAAGCGATTTCAAACTCCCTTCCCTGATGTCTGCATCTGGCCTCTGAGATGAAGACAGACCTTTTTGGCAATGAAACTGTTGCCAGCGCTAGTCTGTACAAAATGCTTTGGCTGACAGCCTACAGAACACGGTTGTGTGCCAGACTCCTGTGTCGTGGGCAGTGAAGGACTGTTACTCTGAGGCATAGAGGGCACAAAGGAAATAAATGCATGGCCATTGTCATGGCTGCTGTTGTAAAAGCAAGTCTGGCAAATATTTTTATTTTCTGCAACAAGTCTTGGCAGGGATAGACAGCCAGCTGTGCACAGACGGGCACCTGTACAATGTAAAACCAAAAACAAACAAGAAGAAAGGCCTCACAATAAATGAAGTCGTTCCCCACCCCTTCTTCTCTCCTTCATTTAAGGCCAAATTGTCAAACATTCTTGGTTTTTCTGAGAAAGGCTTTTCTAAAACCCATCTTCTAGGGGGAGAAAAATGCCTCATCATCCTAGGTCTATGTTTCTTAGAGTAGGGGAGAAGAAATTCTTGGATTCTACAGCACATGAAAACACCAATTCCCATTTAAAGAAGGTTTGGGAAATACTTGAATGTGCTTTTCTGTTAGTCGACTGAAGGAAGAATGTAATTCAGAGGAAGCCGAGTCTGTATTTTAGGAGGTGTCAGCTTACCTTATCTTCTATTTAACTGTGGGATCAGGAATGTCCACAATAATTATGGAATTGTAGAATTGGAAGGGACCACAATGGTCATCTAGTCCAACCCCCTTGCAATCTTTTCCCCAACTTGGGTCTCAAACCCAGGACTCTGAGATTTGTGCTCTACCACAAATTTTACAGGCATGGGTACATTCTGGGGAGTGAGGCCCTGGACTTACATCTCGAAGTCCTGTCCTAAGTAGAATGCTCATTTACGCATCACTAATTTACATGTATAGATGCAAAATTGGAAATAATTACTATAATTTAAATAGAAATAAAACACATCTCATCATAGTGAGGAAGGCTGTGCCTTGGTGGCCTTGGGCTGTTGCTCACTCAGATGTTCAGGGACGGACTGTCAATGTGCAATTTCAAGGCCTCTGCTCTCCCATCCTATCATTCTCTATCATTAAACTGGGCTTGGACTGCATTACCCTTCATAAAAGAGGGCTCTCCTCTGTATAGTAGGACACATGGCTCCCCTAGCCCTAAGTGCATTACTGCTTCAGGTACTTCACTGGCCACAGAGCTGTAATTGCTTGAAGGTGATCTCAACCTCCCTGTTTCTTCCATCTGCTAGCATCTTTGAGAAGCTGGTGTGCTTGGGCATCAGCTGTGCAATTTTTTTAAAATAAGAAAAACAGGGAATTATAGGGATGTTACTGGAATGTAGAGTACCTGTGTCTTTACAGTGGTACCTAGGGTTACATACGCTTCAGGTTACAGACTCCACTAACCCAGAAATATTACCTCAGGATAAGAACTTTGCTTCAGGATGAGAACAGAAATTGTGTTCCGGCGGCGCGGCAGCAACAAGAGGCCCCATTAGCTAAAGTGGTGCTTCAGGTTAAGAACAGTTTCAGGTTAAGTACGGACCTCTGGAACGAATTAAGTTCTTAACCTGAGGTACCACTGTATTCTACACACACAGTGGTGTCTTGGAGTCCCCTTTGACTCAGTAGTTCGACTGTTTTTGTCACGTTTCCTGTTTCCTAGCAGAGGCGCATCTAAATCCCACCAAAAATTCAGTGGGATTCGGTGAACATTTGAATGTATAAATCCTATGAATTTCAATGGAACTGAAATGACATGGAGTGACTGGCAAGACAAGGTGAGGCAGACACAAATTGGAGGTTACTCCATTGCCAGCTTCCCGTAAACCACTGCATGGCCACTATGAGAACAGAATGCTGCATTAGATACATGCATTTTTTATATGCACTACTTGACTGGAGAACTGAATCGCAAAATTTGGAGGAGTGCAAATTTCAGACAGCTCTGTTTCAGTTCACGTATTATTTTGGAAGCTGTGAATTGGGTAGACTTTCCTTCAAATACAAGCTAAATTGAACTCCTTCCCCATCCCTAAAATTGTATGCTGGCCTGCAGAAAGGCCGTTTCTAGTTAAGCAGCTAATGCAGTGACTAGTGAACATGCTATATGTTTTCCTTCAGTGCTTGGCACTTCCATCTTCCCTTCCCCACTCATTTTCCTCACCACCACCCCAACTTATTTATTACATTGCAAGCCAGAAACATCTGACTCATTCATTGTATGACAGGGCTATAATTTTCTATGGCTTTGGTTCTGTAAGCTGAGTCTATTGTTTGTGGCTGAGCATGCAGCCTTGTTCCTTACCTCCAACCCACTCCCAACACCTGCTTTCTTGAAACTTCCAGTGCATTGACAAGTATTTTTTTCTCTGGCAAAAAGATCTAGTCATTTGCTTCTCAATTCCGCATGCACACACTATCGGGGAATGTTCAGGAGTTTTAAATAGATCTTTATATGCAGGGAAAGGTAATGAAACAAATTCTGTCTGTATAACTGTCACAGGTTTGGGTGGGTGGGTCCCCCCCCCCCAGCTAGCATTCAGATGCATCTTCTGCTTCCATTCTAATTGCTCATATTTTAAACAAGGAAAAAAGCATATCTAAGCTACATTTTCAAAGGCTCTAAATCACTTGTGTGTGGTGCCAAGTGTATGAATAGTATTGCATTTGCTGATTAGTTTTAAATTCCCTGATGTCATTTTTAAAAATGTTTATGATGGATGCATCTTCCTTCCAGATTCACTCCAAGAGATGCTTATGGTGAGCTTGCAGAACATATTGTCTTCCTTTTAAATAAATGAACACGTGATTTTGACTCACACTGAGTCAGACCATTGGTCCATTATTGTCTGTGGCTTGCCATATCTCAGGTTCCTCCCAGACCTGGTATGTGCCAGACAATGCCAGGGAAGAATGAGGAACACTTCTGCAGATGCCAGAGGATAAAGATGGAATCTTCTGCCTTCAAAACATGTGATTGCCCCTACCCATAAATATGTATATGGTTTTATGAACAACCTAGCCCCAGCCATCACATAGAACCATAGAGTTTGAAGGTACCCTGAGGATCATCAAGTCCAACCCCCTGCAATGCAGGAATATACAGCTGTCCAATTCAGGGATTGAACCAGTGACATTGGTGTTATCAGCACCATGCTCTAACCAACTGAGCCAATCATTCAGGGGTATGAATGTACATAATAATCTTATAAAGTACTTCTTCAGCAGCACGTAGCTAAACTATGGAATTCTCCCACACAGGAGACAGTGATGGCACCAACCTTGAAGGCTGTACAAGAAAATTAGAAAAAATCATGGAGAATACGGCTACCAGTGGCTACTAGCCATTAATGACGGTTATGTTTCTGAATACCAGGAGCTGGAAACCACAGGGTGGGAGAGTGCTCTTGTGCTTGGGTATATTGACCAAAAGAAGATAGGTGGTGCAATGGGTCATTGCATCTGGATGATGACCAGAAAGTTGGTGGTTTGAGCCTACCCAGCAATAACTATGGGCAGCATGGACTTAATACTATTCCTGGCTGCATCAACAGAAATATAGTGTCCAGATCAAAGGAAGTAATGTAGATCAAGGGTGGATGCGGGTGGCGCTGTGGGTTAAACCACAGAGCCTAGGACTTGCTGATCAGAAGGTCGGCAGTTCAAATCCCCGTGACGGGGTGAGCGCCCATTGCTCGGTCCCTGCTCCTGTCAACCTAGCAGTTCGAAGACACGTCAAAGTGCAAGTAGATAAATAGGTACCGGTCCAGCGGGAAGGTAAACGGTGTTTCCGTGTGCTGCTCTGGTTCGCCAGAAGTGGCTTAGTCATGCTAGCCACATGACCCGGAAGCTGTACGCCAGCTCCCTCGGCCAATAAAGTGAGATGAGTGCCGCAACCCCAGAGTCGGTCACGACTGGACCTAATGGTCAGGGGTCCCTTTACCTTACTATTCTGCCTTGGTCAGACTACACTTGGAATACTGTGTCCAATTCTGGGTGCCACAATTTAAGAAGGATGTTGACAAGCTGGAATGTGTGCAGAGTAGGGCAATCAAGATGATCAAGGGTCTGGAAACCAAGCCTTATGAGAAGCGCTTGAAGGAGCTGGATATGTTTAGCCTGGAAAAGAGGAGACTGAGAGGAGATATGATAATCTTCTTAAAATATCTTAAGGGCTGTCACATGGAGGAGGGAACATGCTTGTTGTCTCCTGCTCTGGAGGGTAGGACTCAAACCAATGGCTTCTGGTTATAAGAAAGAAGATTCCAACTAAACATACAGAAAAACTTTCTGACTTTCTGGATCAAAGAATATGTCCAGACTTGCTCTCTCAAGGGGAGTGCAACTTCATCCAAAGCAGACTGAGTACCAGTTCCCCAGACCTGATAACCATACAGAGCACAATTTGAGTCCAATAGCCCTCATCCACCCTGCTAACACCTTTGGGCACTGGTTCATCACCTTCACAGCCTCACCTGACTTATATAAAAAGGAGAAAGAGAATTCTGCAAGGTCTTTATCATGAATCAGCACGAGATATCCTCCGTCATCAGTAAATTACCTTAGAAGTAGCAAGTTCATGTGTTGTCTTGTTTCCTGATTTTGGTAGGTGGGACCCAAAGCAGTAGGGGCTTTTCCTACTGTGTTTTTTATTTCATTCATTTATCAGGGCCATCAACATTTAATCCCTTGGGCTCAGCTGTCAATTGAACGTTGAAGGTTCCTGAAGCTCTCTTTCCCTCAGAAGCCTCTCTCTCCCAGTGGCCACAAGGGCATTTCTGCCTTTCCAACATCTCCTTTTTGAGTGTTTAGAGACCAATTCAAGCAAAATGCTCTAATGCTGGACTTCTCTTAACATTCAGATCTTCTCCCCTCTCTCCTCCTTTTCCCATTACCACTGACAGCCCTATCATCCTCCTGTCATGCCCAGGTTGGCATGCCCTCATTGAGCATCTGCATTGTTATTAAGTCCTGACACTTCTCGGATAACTCTGAAGTCAGCTGATAAAATAACATTGTGCACCTAAGTCGTTTCTTACTCTGACGACTTCTGCCATCTTCTCTTTCTGGATTCCTGCCTAGGTTCTTTCTTTAACCTAATCCAACCTTAAGGTTAATATTATTATTTTTAAGGCTCCATTTTTAAGTTGTATTCTTTTTAAAAAATAAAATAAATTCTGCTATTCTATTTGCTTGCTTCCCTTGCTTCTCCCCCTCCCAAGCCCTTGATGTTACATTTACTTTACTTTCCCTCTTGTCTTCACGTTAAACATGGCTTTGCAAAATTCTACCTGTATGTTGAGAAACGAGACAGGGTCAAGTCTTTAAGCTAAAACTCTTCCCTGTTTTAAATGACTGAGTTCCTGCTAGTTATTATTTCAAGGCAGAGAAATGCATGTCATTATCATGGTTGGCTTGTGTATGAAGGGAGGGAGTGTACATCTCAGAGACCCATGCAGAGTGCATTGCATCTCTGACATTTAAGCACAGGAGGAGAAAGTATATATATTGGTGATGGAGTCTGCCCATCATCAGGGCTGATTTTTGCTCCATCACAAAAGCCCTATTCTTGTCTAAGGAGAAACATCCCTCCCACTTATGCAGGGGTTATGTTCTAGGCCCCCCACACATAAGTGAAGTGTGGGAGCACCCTCTAAAAAGCCTCTAAATGCCTGTTTCCTCCTGCTCTCCAGCACTCATTCCCACTCTCTCTCCACTAGAGTTGAAGCTCTGGGGATGGCTGGAAGACGGGCAGGAAAGCAGCTGCTGCTGCTGCTGCACTACCCCACATGTCAGCTGTTAGGCGGTGAGGCTGGGCAGCCTAAACAAAGCCTCTCTGTGCCTCAGCTCTTTAGGGGCTTTCTCTGCCCTCACTAATGTCCCCTTCGGGCTCAAGGGATGGTCTGCTCATGAGGCAAGAGGACTCTCCAGTTCTCTCCCACTATTTCCAGGTATGGTTCTATTTATTTATTTACTTCTTGGCACTGCACATATATGCAGTTGCACACAAGGAAAATGGGTGTAAGTTGGGGGTGCAGTAGTGTTGAGTGCAGTATCACATGCCACCATTCAGTAGAGGCTAGTGCAACTATTTTGTTGCATACTGCCCTTGCATTAATTGCTTACAGCTGCCTTGTACTGTTTCACATCTGTAAATCGTCCGGAAGACTGAGCCAATTGGGCAATACACATAAAGGTCAAAAATAAATGAAGGAATCCCCACTGCAAACAACCCTGACTCCCATCTCTCCATGTCCCTGTGTGCCAGAGAGCCAGTGTGGCGTAATGGTTAGTGTGTTGGGCTTTGCCATGGGAGACCAGTATTTGAATCCCCACTCAGCCATGAAGCTCATTGGGTGACTGTGGACCAGTCACTGGCTCTCAGCCTAACATATCTCACAGGGTTGTTGTGAGGATAGAAGGGGGAGCAGAGAAGCATGTATACCACATTGAGCTCCTTGGAGGAAAAGATGTCATATAAATGTATGATGATGATGATGATGGGTCCCTGTTTCAGTAATAAATTTATTTCTTTTTCCAGAAAAGGCTGCAAAATAAGAATCTTATTGGATAATTTAAATCTAAGGCAATCTTACGCAAAACTTAAAATCTAGCTATTACAGTAAAGGGGGGGGGGAAACAGAGAAAGATTCTTCAGATGAGCTGAATGGCCATCAGCCTTTCATTTCCCTCTTAACCTAAAGCTGATTTAACTGGCAGCCGGATAGTTTTTTGAATGGCTTGCAGAGATTCCAGTTATATCTAACCTCGTGAATGGCGGTAATGATATATGTTTCATTCACCGGAGAAACAACTGTTTTCTTTTCCCTCCTCTAATTCTCTGCTTCGCAGGTACCTACAATGATATAATATACATTGCTATTATTGTAAAACAAGAGTTTATTACATGGCTAAGTAAGTTGATCTTTGTAAAAGTGAACAAGCACATTGAAATAAAAATAAAAAACTACTTAATCCAATCTTCTCCCGTGCAATTCCTTTCGAAGGGAACAGACACGGCCTGTTAAAAATCACAAAGAATGTCGAGTTTCCATTCACAGACAAAGTGTCCTCATTCAAACCCACATTCTATAGCTACCTTAACCCCCCTTCTCAGCTTTCCTGACTGCAGAGAAATGTGATTCCATGGAACCGTTGGCGGTTTTCGGCTTGCTGCTTTCTTTCCCTTTTTTTTTAAATTAATGCTCCCCACTGGCCAAGGGCTTTTCGAGCCTCGCAGACTCAGTGACACCTAAATGGCACACACTCTGGATTGGCTTGTTGTGTGGAAAAGGCAGATAAAGGGGAGGAGGAGAAACATGAAACAGGTGGGGAAGGCCAAAGTGCCATTCACAAAGAGTTGGAAGACTGGAGCCAGCGTTGGGGATCATGTCTGTGGTGAAACAGTGACTTTATTGAAATGATTTCGCGTCAGGTGTTAGATTACTTAGAAAGCCCTGGGAATTCTGTGAAATCTGGCAAGCCTGCGGCTACAAAAGCAAGAGAGAAGGAGGGAAAGAAAGGGAGAAGATCTTCTGAACTTTCAGCCAGGAAATGAGGAGAAAGAAACAATTATTGCTTAATTAGTCTGATTAGTGCGGCTGGAAGCTACCCTGCCAACTTTGCCATGTAATAATTGTCAAACGTGGAGCCAACTCTCCAGGCTGTGTTGAGGATTATATGGAAGATTTTATCACTATTGTTTGACTCCGTTTCTACATCCTTCATAAATAGACTTTTGTATGTCCACCAGTAGTACCTTCAACAAAATGCTGCAGGGTAACTTTGCTTCCTGTTGCGGGGAGCCAAAGGAGGGAGAGCGCTGTTATGTTCAGGTCCTGCTTAAGGCATCTGGTTGGCTGCTGTGTGAACAGATTGCTGGACTTGATGGGGCTTTGACCTGATCCAACAGGCTTCTCTTTCGTTCTTAGTAGGAATGCTCCTGTTGAGCCAGTCATACCCTCCTCCAGAACCCTCCAGATATGACTGGTTTACACTTCCAATAATTTCTGACCACTGGCCATGTTGGCTTGGCTTGATTGAGTTGTAGTCCAAAACATCTTGAAGCCACTTTCTTAGAGAAGATTGCTATCAGCAGAGCATTTACCCCCCCTTTCCCTAGTTTTCTGTCTTCCTTTTTCAGCCAATTTTTAACAGCCTGTGGCTACTAATTTTTG